AACCAAACATTATTTTAATAATCGATTATGATTTATACTTCGACATTACAAATTCAACATTTGAAAATAAAAGTTAAATATAAAGTGGAATTTAAGATTAGAAACTAAGGATAAAAACGTACGGAAAATTCATTTATTAAAAAGTAATTAACAGTTAAAATATTCAATGTAATTCACGAATAATAAAGGATTCATGTAGATTGAAGGAGGATGCAGTAAACGAGAAATGAAATATTTTCTAATTAAGGACATTGAAATGAAAATGAACACAACATTCAAAAATTTAACAGCACTCAAATTATCATTAGTTCACCTATAAAAGTAGATGCTCAGAGGCCATATCGTCGAACTTGTTTCATTACATTATCCCAAGTCAAATAATTTATTTAGAAAATTTCAAGATCATACTGGGCATATTTCATATACGCGTCACATACATAAATCATTCGAATTCATGAATAGTTCATTGTCAACAGCATTATGTCATATTTTTTGTCCACAATATAATTAAATATTGTAAAAACTAATAAAAATTTTCATAATAACTATACTTAGCAATATATATATATATATATATATATATACATTTTCAATTACTTAACAAATTATAGAATATATTTATTACAATTGTATGTATTGTGATAATGATTTTTAATTTAAAGAATTATTTAAGCAAGATTTTATTTATATTTGTGAAGCGTGTAAGAAATATGCAACTATAAATAGAAATTTAGTTTCAGAGGCTTAATTTTATTTAAAAAAAAAAAAATGATATAAGCTGATTCAATTACTTAATGAATAATATTTTATGATTTCTCTCTAAAATTCCATTTTTTTTTTTATTTTTTTATTTTTAATTAATATAATACAACTAATAGAAGGTGAATACAACTTAATTTGATTTTTCCATATCAGATATATTTAACTTATTAATTCCAATTATAAAGTGAAATACAAAAATACATACGCTTGATATAAAATGTCCATTAATATGTCGAAAATAATAAAAATTCATGAATTATATGGAAAAATTTGTGTTTAAATTTATGAAAAGAAGCTTATTTTTATTTTATATAAATAATGGCATTTAAATGCAAACCATTTATCATTTCAATGTGAATGTAGAGATTTCGTTGCATTTTCAATAAATAAGAAATTAAAGAAAAAAAGAAAATAAAAATTAATCAATATTATGATAAAATACAAATATATAATATATATGTACTAATGTTAAAAAATAGAATCATATTTTAACGCTTTTAAAAAATAAAGGCTATTGTTTTCATAATAGCATTTATATTGTTAACAATAATTAATTAACGAAATATTAAAATTTTTATATCAATTATCGTGTAATTTAAAATTAGTCTATGAGAGATCATTTCATTCATAAAAATTCATATTTAGCTTTGCTTTTAAAACGATCACAATATATTGATGCCAAATATTAATAATTAATCAATTAATATTATACATAGTAAATTATATTGTTGTAAGTAATTAAAAATATACGAAAATTTATCGTACTCATTAAATAACTTGTTGGCAAATACAATGAAAAGCACTTATTCACAATACATTTTTCAGAATTATAAGTAAATTATATTGGGTCAAACATGTTTGTATAATAATAAGTTACAATGGAAATACTTATCAAAAAAAAAAAAAAAAAAAAAAAAAAAAAAAAAAGTAATATCTCGATTGTTAGAAGAAAGAATTGGTATAGCGTATACAATCGAAAAATAAATAAATAAATAAATAACAGCGCTGTGGAAACAAAAAATTGAAAAATTAATGAAACTTTGTAAAGCTGAGTATACTTTGTTTTGAAAATGACAAATAAAATATTGCTTCCACATAAACAAAGTATAATTGTTCATAGCATTTTTATATATTTAAAAAAACATTAATTTTTCATAAAATATGAAAGTTTCGAAAATTTGAATCTAAAAAAATAATTTAATAATAACTGGATATAATTTGAATATCAAAAATCATTACTAAACAGACACTAAACTAACAAACACAATGAATTATGAATAATTGCGTATTTATATTTGAATCCTTCTCTTCGTATATTCCATCTCATTCATGGCAAATTTTAAAAATTTTAAAAATTAAATGTAAAACTATCCATCTCTTTAAAAAATATTTTTAATTTTTAATATCTTATAAGGAGAATTCAAAGTTTAAAATCTTTTAACATTGTTGTAGTCCCTATAATTTATATATCTTGATTAATAGTCAAGAATGAGAAAAGGATTAATTCTAACACTACCCTATAAGAAAGATGTGATGAAGTTCAAAAAAAAAAAAAAAAAAACTCAAGGAGAATGAAGAAAATGAGTAAACGGTATTTTTTTTCTTGTAAAGTAAATTCTTCTCGTATCCGAGTGAAATTGAACCGCCTGTAAGAACACATCGAAGAGAACTGGATTTACGAACGAAGGATGATATCTGTCTTCCCGAGTATTTTTATTGTCCATTGTGATGACTTTTCTTTTATTTTTGACGACAGTATCAGAGTCTGTTACTGCACCTAAGTCGGCAGTTATTCGTGTAACTATGTGTTTTCGTTTGCTTATTTTATCCTTCGTCCGGAGAAAAGAAACGACCGATATAAAGACATGTGTTTATCCCATATATTATTTCAATTTTTTTCATTTTTTTTTCACCTTACGGGTTTTATATATTTATTATATATGACTCGGTTGTACTAGAAATTGTAAATGTTTTTAATAAGTTTCGATTTAGCTTCTTTATTATTTTTTAGGCAATGCTTTATAGGTAATGTAATATTTACTTGGAATTTTCTTAATACTTAAGTAATTTCCATTTGTCATAAATAGACATGCATAGTTGTTAATTTAATATTTACATTAAACTTCATTGAAATATAATAATGTCAGTAAAATCCATCGTATGTTGCAAATCGATATTATTCACATCTTACATTACAATATTGCAAAGATTGTAGTATGTATTTGTACTATAATTTTTAAACTATAAATATCGCATAGGTACAACTGTATAATATTATGTATAATATCATATATCAGCAAATTAAAAATGTCATTCTCTAATCTAATAAGATCGAAATAAAACATAATTTTATTGCTTCGCATTGATCAATCTTTATCAGCCGTTTCTCCTTCCACATTATCCTTACACTCTACGAGCACACAATAGTGTAAACGAAGCTCAAAATGATTATATTAGGCCAAGTGGCGTGCGTTGGTGCTGGAAAAAATGGTGTGTGTATGTGTGGCACGCGCGCGTGTACGAATAATCAAATAAGTATAGCCCAGGACCGCGGAACCGCCCACAACACGCTTTCGTCCCTCTCGTTTCATCTTTCTTTTCTTCCACCTTTATTTATCCATTTTATTGCTTTCATGTCACTATGCTATTTTACCCTCTAAAAGGGGGGAAAAAAAAAATGAAATTTCGTTATTTCGATTCGACGAGATACCAATATTTATAAATCCGACAATTAAAATATTTCTATAAGAAAGTTTATTCTTAGTTAAAGAAACTAAGATAATATATAAAATAATAATGCTAACTGCTCATTATCTTAGAACAGCACTTATCATTAAATTATACTAATAGTCTTTTCTTTAATATATTAATATAATAAAATATGAAATATTATTAATAATATTTTTATCTTTTGGCTTAGATATTCTAATATTTTTTACTCTCTCATTAATAATAATATTTGTATTATATAATTCCTATTAATATTCCTACATAATGTCCCTTAATATTTTAAAGAAACGAAAATTGATTGTATTAAGATGAATTCAACGTCAATAATTTAATAAATCCATAAAATTATTTATAAAAAGCGGATTTTTTGTTGACATTTATAGCTTATTCGTTTGATTAATTGTACTTCTCTTTCAGAATTTCTCAACGCTCATATATTTTTAACCCAAGTTAAAAATGCTGAATTTTAATAGAAAATATCAATTCTAAAGTTAAAAATATTAAAGTACTAATATATCATTTATTATTATGCTAATATTTTTATCTAACGGTTTTTTTTAATCTTTATATTAGTTATGTCTGTAATCAATTGTTATCAAAATTTATTTCAAAGATAAAAGGATGAAACGATTACCAACGTTTTAAGCAAATTTTAGTATTGACAATTTTATTTATTCAAATATATTTGCTTTTCGTTCAGACAACAAATTCTTTATTTAAAAGCACGTAAATTAGAAACAAGCTTTTATAATTAAACAATTAAAATAATTCGTTGCCGTATGTGTAAGAAAATTTTTTCATCAAAACTATCATAAATGATTTTATCCTACGTAGCGTGTAGATTATATATAAATTAAATAGTAAATAGTGAAATACATGAAAGCCTGTAGATAATTTTATATTAGTAATAAAAATTTACATCGCGAGAATACGTAAAATATAAATATCAAAAGAATATGTGCAACGGTAATTCAAGTAATGAATATTATATAAATTTAAATAATAATAATTATTTTATTGCGTTCGTTATACTTGCATCAAATTAACTTTTATTACTTTGGCGTTTATAATATGCTTGAGAAAAATAAGAAAGTGAATCCTTGTACTCCTAGAATAAGCGATATATATTATTTAAAAAAAAAAAAAAAAAAAAAAAAAAAAAAAATCCAAACCAATGCATAAGCTTAACAAAATTTTCAAAATTTTCCGAACTTACTGCCCCGTTAGATAATTATCACGAAGAAGTTCACTCACCAACTCTGCTTGAGTATATTATGAATGTAATTATTTATTGAATTAAGAAAATCGTATATAATGAAAATGCCAAGCATACGTCGAGAATAGAAATTAAAATGAGAGAAACGAAAGCGAAGGCGAAATTAGCTGCGAAAACTCGGTGGTGTTATAATATAATAAAAGGAACCGGGAATAGAGTTTAGGGATGGAGCGAAGTAGGTATTAGTGATATGTTCATATTATTTTTCTCAGACTGAAAAATTGACACTCACGTCAGAATCGGCGCCTTTGTCAGCTCCAGGGCACGTAAACGACACGTACTCGTGACATCGCTTGTGTACAACGAAGCTACATACTGAAACAGGTCGAAAAGAAAGTAATTACGTAGATCGCCTTTCGATGCACGGCTATGCACTTTTTATCTTAGCTCCGCTTTGCATAATGTATAGCGCGAGCGGCAATTTTGCTTTTCTTTTTCATTTCAAGGACGATTTATTCGGGTTCTTACCTTGGCACTGATAACCCTGCTTTCCAAAGCCCCTATAACAGAAAAACAAATACACCTTCAGACGGACTAACTCCATACGTACATATTCAAACGTTTTAAATTGTTTCACATAACAAGTACGCACGCACGCACGCACGCACGCGCACACACACACACATACGCACACATATGCACACGCATATATATATATATATATTTATTTATTTATTTATTTATAAAAAATACATGCTACATAACTCCAATTGTTTAATTTATATTTATATGTTAATTATAACTCCAATAAAATTATTCATTACTAAATATAAAAAAAAATTAAGTAACAAAATCAATATTCTTTATGGAATTACATTATAAATATGAATTGTACTTCAAAAGTACGAAATATTTATTAGAATATAATATGTTGGACCGTAGATATATCATTAAAGATATACCATTTTCTATATCATTAAAAATAAAAAATATTTCCAATTTAACTGTTTTTTAGTTAGGGTATTAAACAAAAATATATAACAAAATACAATGGAATTAAAATTATGAAGAATAGATTTATTTTAAAGACTTGACGACTTAACATAATTCGCACAAAAACTTCGATTATTTAATTCATAAGTTTTAAAATATACTATTAATATATGTACTTTCTATTCAGTAAATAAAAATATAATATTTAAATCTGATGTATTATTTTTTCAAAACAAAATTTATATAGGCAAAGTATAAATATAATATTAATCATAAATTTTATATTATAAAATGGGTGATTAAGAATTTTATAAAATATTATTTAAATTTAAAAAATCTCATTCAACTACTGTTAAAATAGAAACAATAATAATAACAATAACAATAGTAATAATGACATTTATATTTCCTATTAAATCTAACTATTTACCATAGTTTGAGTATACAATGAAACAATTTTTTTCCTTGCTGCAATATTTAATAAAAATAATCTATCTGTTCAATCAATCAATTTATCAATGAATTTATATAATGCACTGAATGCATTCAATTTCTATAAAAGAGCGCTATGTTTTTTTATTTTGTCAGATTTTAGAAATTTATTACAAAATCTGCTGAAGTTCTATAATAATCAAAAAAAATTTTAATTATAAGTATAAAAATTAAATTATCCATTATGTTGCATTAAATATTTTACATCTCTCTTGATTGTTAAATTATTAAGTTATTAATAAATCTTTAAAGTGTAAAAAATTAAATGGCTAAGTATTATTTAAATATTATTAATAAGAAGAAGAATTTTAATCAATAAAACGAATGTTTGCGGATAATGCAAAAGAATAGGATATTTACTCGCTAATCCAATAGCCTGGCATAACAATAACATTAATTATAATTTAATATTAATCGGATTTTTCTTCGGTAATTGTATATTCTATAAACTTTAATTAAAGAAGAAATTAAATTATAATTGGTAACACAGCTTCTATTATTACAGAACTTTACTAAAAATTACTCAAATTATATTAATCATATTTTAAAAGATAAAATTAACGAAAAACTAATACTCAACACTTATCTCTCTTCTTCTTATAGCCATAAAACTAATATAGTTCTTTCATAAATACTAATTTTAATTATGATTATAAAAAACAATCTAATACAATTTTAATTAAGAAATATAATGGCACCGTAAGTTAAAGAAAATAATGTTCTTATATTTACTACCTTTAGATCTAACAAGAGCTTAAACAATTTAATCTAGTTTGAGGGAATTTAAAAACTACTATAAAATACTAACTCTTCTTAAAATTACATTTGAGCATTATTATAAAGCTTATTGTAAAGTATTTCTTACAAATATATATCTTAATAGATTCCTTCTCAACTACATCTCTTATTGAAAGTACTTCATCAACAGATAAGGAAACCCGTCGCCTTACGATAGCGCATCCTGGAAAACTTTACGTGTATCGTATGTACGTGAATTTTATACACGCAAAGATGGCAAAACTAATATAATGGGGCTCAAAATCACTATGCATAATCGAACAAAATAATAAATAGTAACAATTTTATTGTTACAATGGATTATCAAATAAGCTAAACATAAAGAAATTCTATTATAAATGTATACTCTACCCCCGAGCGTTTCATAATTTTTTTCTTTTTTTCTTTTTTTTTGCCTCTTCTCTTCGTGTTTGCTCTATTTTTTGCTAATAATACATTATAAATCTTGTCATTCATCAAGACTTACCCTAGTTGATCGATAAAATTTTCATCCCCGGCCGAGGACGTTTCGGCGCGAAATTTAATGTTTTCCTTAATTTGAAATAAGTTTATCAATCCACTTTGTGTAATTTAATATAAATTGATTTTTTATTTAATTATCGAATTATATATTCAATATTAGTACAGATTTAAGGATTTGCTCTGCTAGCTTCGTTACAGAATGCAGGATTACTTGATTATAATAGAATTATTAATAAATATGCTAATTATTAATGTATATAATAATGTGAAAGCTATGTATTTATCTTGTATTTATGATGTTCATTAAAATTATCAATCTAAGCAAATTAAAACGAATAAATTTGAATGGTATTAAATTATCTTTTTGTAATGTATCATTTAAAACATTTAAGATCTCTGTAAAAATACTACATATGATCTGTATAATTTTATTTTCTGAAAATAATTTTCCATATTTAATATTTAAAAGGAAATTATTATGATAAAATTATTAGAAACTATTCCCAACATATATCTTTATAACAATAGTAAATAAAAATAAATAATTAATAATATTTTTAATTAAATAAAATATTAATTTCTGATTTATGCGTATATGCATATATATATATATATATATATATGTGTGTGTGTGTGTGTGTGTGTGTGTGTGTGTGTGTGTGTGCGCGCGTGTGGGTGTGTATATACATAATTTTCAAATTAATATTTTATTTCATTCATTTCTGTATATTGTACATGTTATTTTCAACGATCATATTAATATATAAATATAAATATTTATTAAAACGCACATTTAGAAATGCATTTATAAGTAAATTAACTTAATCAATCGATATATTTTAATTAAAATTTATATTTCTGTATGAATTTGAATATCAAAAATTTAACAGACATAAATAATTAATATTTATATAATAAATAAAAATATATTAATAATTAGAAACTAAATAAATATGAAATATCTTAAACTATAATCAAATTTATTTATATTATTTGTATTTGTATTTGTTTTGTATATGTATTTATATTATAATATAAACAATTATTTCATGAAAATGTTCTTATTAAAAATTATGAAAGAAAATAATATAGAAGTCAATGATTTACCGAAATATATTTTATGTGGTTTGAAAAATTGACATTTATTATTTCGTCTCTTACATATCTATCCAAAAGGCTGAAATACTCTTGAGTTCTATTAGGTTTATTTTCTGCTTGTTCATACATACAAACACGCATACACAAATTGCATACATACATACATATGTAGATATATAGATATGTAGTGCAGACGTAGTAGATTCATTTAACGTTACTACTGAATTTTAAAGGAAGAAAGTCAAGGCTTTCGGTAGATTTGAAAGTAGATTTGAAAAAGACTATATGCATATCGAAAGAAAATCTCTTAATCTACAAATTTTTTTTTATTAATTCCTGAGCCCATGAAAAAAAAAAAAAAAAAAATTGTTCACGGTAAGAACGATTGCACTGAAAAACTTATGCTTTTAATGCCCTGTAATGTCGTTCGTATAACATTTTATTCATCGCATACATTTTTTTAAATACTTTTGCCTTTTAGTAATGAACTAGAAAAACTGGTGAAAAGAGAAAAATAAAAATAATGTGAAAGAATACAAATGCCTTGCCCATCTGTGTGCCGTACATATTTGCGTGTGTGTATGAAGCTTTGCTAGGTCGAGGTTTTAGTGATATAGTGAAAACCTGTATGGTAAAGGTACATTTTTAACCTAACGCTCCCTCCATACAGTCATCTCACTCGCTCGTTCAACCTTCTTCGTCTTTTCTCCCACTCTTTCTTACCACCGCGCGGTCATCTCTCTCTCTCTCTCTCTCTCTCTCTCTCTCCATCTATCTATCTATCTATCTATCTATCTATCTATCTATCTATCTATCCATCTATCTCGTACTCACGCTATCTTCTTCCCTTTCTCATTGCCTTTCTCTCTTCTTACATCTTTGTCTATCTGCCATTCGACCTAACTGATTATTTACAATTTTTCGCAACCTCTTCCAGTGTTTATGCGTATCGACGCCTAATACAAAGATTTTCCTGGCCTTTTATACATACCATGACAGAGAGAACCACTTGTCAATCAAATCAGCTTCATAGATAAAATCAATATATAAATTTTTATCGATTGATGTTTTTATGATTTTTCCATCTTCTTCTTTTCTTTTAATCTACTGTACTCTATCTTTCGCAATCGTATTTCGATAATATTGATTTACCTTCGATTTTATAATATATATTCCATTCTATTATCTCTATAATTATTATTATTATTTTTTTTAATTTATATCAATTAGATTTTATTCTTTTAAATTATTTTTAATTTTAAACATTTATCAATAAATTATTTGTGTTTCATAAACTATCAATTATTTTATCTGCTTTATGCTATAGTTATTTCTAAATCATGTAGCCTGAAAAATTAATTGTTGCTTTTACAACACCCACTGTTACTCAAAATATTACAAAAATTTATATCGATTAATTTTTTACAGAATTATTTATTTCATTGTTTTTCAAATATTTGAAATAATATGAGACATTGAATCATAAATACATATAATTTGTTACTACATCAAATTATTGCAATTAAATATAATTTTTGTATTTTATCACAATGGCAATCAATTTAGGTGGAATTAATTGCCAATTGCAATTTTGAGAAAAAATTAGTTGAACGTGTACAAATTGTCTCTGTTATCTAGTCAATAATTATATTTTTCATGAAATTCAAGAGATTCGTCTATAATATTACAAGTATATAAGAAACTTAATAAATCAAAG